TTTGGGTAAACATTATATATAAACTAAAGGAAGTTAACTAAATTAGGCAGATGGTTTCCATTGTTGCTTGTTGTTTGTTTTTTTTCACTGGTATATGTATGCATTTCCATGGAAGAGTGAAAGTGGTGCTTTTGATTTGTTGTGCCTTAAGACAACAGAGAATGTGTCTGTCTAACCAGTTGCTGTTGAGCTGGAGTCTAAAATTAATATCCTCTTTTTCACTTCCAAAACAAATGAAAGGCAGAAATGAGAAAATCTTGAATTCCTGAAGTGACTGTAGTTTCTGTCTTCATCCCAAGAACATATGGGGGAGTGGACCATAAAGGAACACACTTATTTTCCAGCACTAATTTAGTTATTGTGTACCTTGGACAGGAGAAGAGTGAGGGATTTAGGGTTAGCTGCTAACAGTGTAACACATTGAGCTAGACAGGATTCGTCTATTATTAACTGCACAAAGAGATGGTGTTTGGCTGCAGCCCCCACCCACATGTTACTACCAACTGGTAGATTCCTTGACTGTGAGCATGTAAATATTGAGAGCTGAGTTTTCATCCATTTTTTTTCAAGGTAAATTAGTAGATTCTGCCTTTAAATTATTACAGCGGACAAGATTTTTGTAACTGAGTCATTGTGGAGCGTTACTTTGGTTTTTTGTTAAGTGTAGTGCTGGTGTTCTTGCTGTCTCCCTCCTTTCTCTCAAAACGTTGTTTCCGTAAGATACTTTACTGTGTGAAAACCAATGGAGGTGTTCTGAAAATTCTCACCTGTTAAACTGCATATGATTTTTCCAGGATGGAATATGGGTGCCTGGATTCACAGGCTGCATATTTAATAGTGGGGGACAGAAGGGATTGCAAGAGGACCCTACTTTGCATCCCCTCTCCCTTTCCTCCCCTCCTAAGTCATATATTTGTATAATATATCCAGGAGGTCATAATGAAAACCTGTGCCTGGCACAAATGTCATTCTTCTTTTGGAGTGGGAACTTGTACTGCCATTTATCTCAGCACTAAGTGCTCTTTATTCAGTGTGGAAACATTTTCTGGAAATTTTCAAGGACTGCCATACTTAAAACACATTAATAGAGATAAAATAGCATCTCTTACAGTCAGAGAAACCTTTGAGTAGATTTAAGCTTATGAGACTTACCAAATGCTGTGTATGTTTATATTATTGCAAGTGAAACTTTCTGGTATCTTTTAATTGTACTGGGACAAAAAATACATGAAGTTTCTGCTCTATTTCACTCTGAAGATAAATAGTGCAATGAGTAGAGTGTGCTTGGTTATAGTGTGGGACAAGTTTTATAGAGAAACTCTTATATTTTAGGGAAAAGTACAGTACTTTTTAACAGTACTGTAGAAACATAATATTTCCTCACTAGCTTAAGTACTCAGCTTTTATAAAATATGCATGGGCTTATTAGTGTTTTATTTTTAAGTACAAATATTTCTATGTTTTACTTGATATTTATAATTTTAAACTGAAAGAGTGCTAATTTTGTTAATAGGAAGGTATTACTGGCCTGTGAACTTGCATAAATCCTCTTCAGTGGGAGTTTTATAACTGGTATTCTAAAAATACTCTTACAGGAGTTTAACTCAAACCAGCATGTGCATTTACTTATGATAATATATATTGTAAGTGTAAAGTTTTCATTGTCACATTTATTGTAATCAGTAATTAGTATCATTCATATCCAGGATATTTGCAGGAAGAGTAGGTCAATTTAGTTCACATTGAACCCTCCTGAAAAGTAGTGGTGCTGACCATTACCTGTAGGAGTTAGTGTTAATGGGCAAACTGTCCAGTACAGCGCTGGGCTGTGATCAGGGACAGATTGGAGTCCTTGTTGTGGCTCTTCCTCAGTGTGTGCATATCCTCTTCTAGAGGACACTTGCTCAGTATTGTAAGCGTTTATAAGATTTTTAGATTAAATGTGTGCAAAGGTGAATTATTTTCATAAAGGATAAAGGAGGAAATGTGTCATTTCAAAATCATCTGCTTTCATCTCCCACATGAATGCATAACGGTGTTTTCTCCCCCCTCTTTTATTCTTTCTGTACTTTTGCCTGCTTCTGTCTTTTAACATTGGTGCTCTTGTTGAGCAGTGAAGCTTCTCATTTGACAGAAGTATTTACATACATTTTCAGGCAGAAAATCTGCTTCTCAGTTTTCACTGAGAAAAATATATTCTCTCAGTATTGCTATCTTGCACTAACATAGTATGCTGTTAGTACTAGAACAGAATACCACATCCAGCATGATACTGATTCTTCAGACAGGTTACAGAACTCTAGTCATGATCTCATTCTTGGAAAAGCTGCAGTCTATACAAGTCTTTCTCTCTTCATTTCCAGCCTGAACAAGAAGTAGGCAAAAGCTCCTTGTCAGTCCTTTTCAACAACTGTGACTTTGATTAATTTGCAGATGATGCTTTGGAAAGTCAAGTTACCCTTTGCCTTTTTAGGAGATGATCTGGCACCATTAACAAACATTTGAGCTGTGAACTGAGATGTAGATATCAAGAAACTGGCAGTTGTCCAACCCTGTTTGTTAGATTTAAGTATTGATCGTTCAAGACTTCCTGATGTGATGTCAGTTGTTGTGATCTATGTTAAATTCCAAGAAATTAATTTCAAAAGCAGCCCCTGATGAGCCAGCTAGAGTAACATGAGGTGAAAAGAGGAAGCCATCCAAGGTTTGGTCTAGGCTGACTACAAGGTTTGTCCTGTGACTTTGCTTGCAAGCAGAGAGCTGGGGAGAGGAGGGACAGGACAGTAGTATGGTCTCTTTCCTTACAATAAAGGTAGGAACATAAGCACAGTAGAAATTACCTTTTCATGGATCTTGTGATGGTTTTGACCCCAAAAGTTTAAGAGAAAAAAAAACCAGAGTGCAAGAGTAAATTCTACACCATTAGAAAGTGTCCTTAATAAATTAGAGCATATTCTGAGACATAGATAAATACATGTATGGAAGGTATCCATGGGTTATAGCAAATACACAACCAGTTTTCACAGTCCCTCAAGGCAATTAGAAAGATATTTTGTCAATGGTGAAAGGAGGAGGGGAGAGGGCAGAATCCTCCTTAAAATTCTAATATACTGTGCTGTGGAACATCAGAAGGAACTTAGTGTTTTCTGTGTGGGTTTTATTTCTTGGCAGGATCCACTATGAATCTCAAAAGACTGCCTTTTTTTTTATGTTGCATTTTTTCTATATATAGTACAGTTTGTTAGCAAAAAAACACAGAACAACAACCCCACCTTATCAAAACATCTATGGTCTTTATTTGTGAAATGTTTCAAACTGCTTGCTAAACGTTACTGGAAAACTGTAGCTGTGAAGGCCATCGCTTACTTGTCAGAGGTCAGAGTTCCCATATTAATCACAAGAAGCATGTGCAGAAAAGAGCTGACCCAGACTCCATCAGTGATCCTCTTTGGTCGGGATAACATCTGCACTCCATTTTCTTCCTTTATATAATTACAACTGCTGATGTTTTCTTAATATTTAGCATGCAGTGAGGAGTGTTCTTGTGAAATTGTGAATTAAATACGTTCTTTTAGGAGTAAGAAAGCCAAGAGGCTAATGCAACCACCTAACTTATTTAAATATCTCTAGTTAACAAAACACTCCCATCAAGCAAAAGCATGGGAGATCTTCCTTCAGTGGGAATTTATTTGAAATATTTATTAAGTTTTTAAAAAATTTTGCTCTTTTATGATTGAATTTGGCAGAAGTCATGGACAAACTCAGCACCGGATAATTTTTACTGAAGTCATTAAATTTGAGAACAAACGACCAACAAAGCAAAATAAATAAATGTCTCTATTTGGTGGAATTGAAATGTAATGGGAACCAGAGTCCTACCCAATGAGCCTCCAGATATACAGTCTGTGCTTGCTTTGAAACTGTGATCACTGTCTGGCTGCGTGTGCCGGGCGCGCAGGAACGTGTCTGGCCGGTGAGATAACGGGTTGGGTTTGCAGTGTGGCTTGGCCTGGCAGCCAGAGCTCACCCTTCTGCTCAGGCCCACCTCGGCCCTCCCTGCCCAGCCCTCTGCTGGAACTGCTGGCATGGGTTTGTGAGGCCTGGGGGGCAGGGGTTTTTTTGTGGAACAACCATATTGTCCAGCTATAGGACTGTTTCTAGTCAGGTTTTAGTTACCAGTCATGAAAATGTAAGCATTAGGTATGTGTGGGTGTTAATTAGTTCATTTTCTGGAGATCCTGTGATTGTTAGTTTAGCTGACAGCTTTAAGTTTTCACAGACTTTGGGCAAGAATTCTATATAATAATTTAAGTGGTTCTTCTGAGGGTGCCTAAATTTCGGTTGAAGCTGTTACAGTGTGATCTTCCTGAGAGTGAGAGGGTTGACCACTGACTGGGTGAAACAGAATGGGACAGGCCGAGTCCCCTGGCTCTGGTGAAGCAGGACAACTCTGCTGACTTCTCTTGACCTCTCTTCTTTACAGCAGTATCCTGTTATGTTCAGGATAGGCCCTTACTTGGAAGAGAGAGTAATACTGTAACACTATAGGTTTATCATAGGTCTGTCTAATAAGTCTAGCAAACGTATACTAATTTCCTCTTTAAAACAAAAAAGCCTGCACCAAAACCACTTACTTCCTCTTCCCTCCCTTTTATGTAGCTGTAATTCTGTTTACTACAAGCACTTCTGAAACACTAAATGTGGGTGTTAGAAATGTACAAGCAGATGCTCAGAAGCATTTGGCTTTTGCTGTTTCCTCTGTTAGATGTTTTAATCAGATTCTTTTATATCTACATGAAGTACAGTTTATCCTCTGTGTAAACTGACTGAACACCACATGTGAACAAAAGTTGGATGTTCTCTGATTTAAACAGATTATGTAAAAAGCTCTCAGTAGCTTAAGTCCAGTTGGATACGAATTCGTACCAATAGAGAAAGTTATAAACTATGTGGAAGTCAATATGAAACCCTATGTCAGGCTCTTTCTTTACCTCTGCTAGTGTTTAATTATTGGAGGTGGCCCATGTGGCTTGCGAACTGCCATTGAACTTGCCTTCCTGGGAGCCAAAGTCGTCGTCGTGGAAAAGCGGGACACTTTTTCAAGAAACAATGTGTTGCATCTCTGGCCATTTACAATCCATGACCTCCGGGGACTGGGAGCAAAGAAATTTTATGGAAAATTCTGTGCAGGATCTATTGATCACATCAGTAAGTATCTGAAGGTGTGGGCACTATTGAGATAAGAGGTATATTGAGGTCAGAAAATAATTTGAGATGTTCTTGATTGGACAGAAAGTTCATCTGCCTTAAAAATGCACAAGTGTGTGCACATGCACACATAGAGAAAAAATCTGTCTTATTTAAACAAAATGGCAGTTGAGGACATGTCAGTCTTATGGAGCAGCTTTTTTGTTAGTCTGGGTTTGTTAAACAATAGGTTTTTATTACAAAGTATCAATAATATTGATATTCATTCTAGTATGTTGAAGGTAGACACAACCCTCTAATTTGATGAGAAGATATGAAAAATGGGATATTTTACAGGGAAATATACTGTAAAATTTTCAGTCTTAAAATGGCCACCCTATTGGTTAGCAGATCCTTTAAATATAATTAAAAAGGAGAGCTCTAAAAGAAGCTCCAAGCAATGGGTATCAGTTGGCTGACATGCTAGTAGCAGCTGTGATTACTCACATACTAAATACATCTTTGTTACTTGCTGTCTACAGGTATTCGACAACTTCAACTTATCCTCTTTAAAGTTGCACTCCTCCTAGGAGTTGAAATCCATGTGAATCTCGAATTTGTGAAAGTCTTGGAACCTCCCGAAGATCAAGAAAACCAAAGTATTGTTTCTCATAATGTGGTTCTGTACACAGTAGCTTCTTTTTTATGTCAGGCCTTATATGTGAAATAATTCAAGGTAGCTGAATTCTGTTTAAAGAAATGGGAATCTTTTCCCTTTCTTATTAAGCTGAGTTTGCTATATGCACTCATACCTGTGATAAGTATCATTGTGACAGAGCACTGATAAGCCTGAAAAGTTAAGGTTTTGCCCTGTGCTTTCTGGCATGTGTTTGAGGCTTTGTAGGGAGTCTGATGTGGCTTTTTGGTATCTTCTCGCAAAAATAATACAAATATGGAGGTGGAATTAAGCTCTCTGCGCCTAATTTTGCTTTCAGATTTGGTATCATTCCCACTGGCACAGAGTCTTATCAGCCATCTTATGCAAGATTAAAGAAAAAAAAAAAAGGATAAATCTATCAATTTTTTCCTTTTTTAAAAGATTAGTATTTAGGGTGTAGTAGCAATGGGATATTTTGAATTTTTACTTCAGTTAACATACTGTGCTGTCTCTTTAAATGGTCACATAGTGACAGTAGAATAAATGTATTGTTTTAAGTGGTTAAAGCATATATTATTAAATATGGACAAAACAAAAATTTTCAGTTTTGTGTTGGTGCAGGGATTAAATTTGTGAGTATGCTTCTCTTTCATTTATATTGAGAAGATTAAAAAGTACTGACTATGTTTCTCTTATTAATACTCAGCCTTTCCTTTCTGTAACCACATGTATGTACAGTCCTGATAAGGTCACTGTGGGGCTTTTTCTGTGAGAATAAAGTGCATAAGCATGTTCTTGTGATGTGGATCTGAGACGTTGAGTGTAGTAGGTGATCCAAATGAGGGCTTCCATTGTTTTTTTGTTGTCAGTTCATGAGCTTGACACCTTGCTAATATAGCCTGAAGTAGCTTTCAGCTTCCCTCAATTAGACAGAGTACAGCTCTGTGTGAATGAGAAATACACCATTTATCTTAATGCCCTTTCTTCAGACTCTGAAATAATTTCTCCATTGTATTACTGAAGAATGAATAAATATTACTCTTTGTGTTTTTAGAGATAGGTTGGAGGGCTGAATTTCTTCCCATGGATCACCCTTTGTCAGAGTATGAATTTGATGTTATTATTGGTGCAGATGGCCGCAGGAACACATTAGAAGGTAGGTGAATGTGGGCTTTTAGTCTTATTAATGGTCTTTAGGGTATTTTGAAAAGCCTGAAAGAAGAGAACACTAACAGGCTACCTTTTAATCCACTGACATCTGTGTGGAAACTATTTTTATCTGGTATCTTTCACTGTTGTTGTTAAGATGTAGCTCAAAATAAAGACATTGAATGTCATTGCTGATTCTCAGCACTGTGCATCTGCATTGCCTACAAAATGCATCATGATGACATTGGGCTTGCTTCAAGGTTAAGTAATTATATGATGATTTGACTTTGAGGAGGCTGACAAGATACCTATCTGGAATTGTAGTCTTTGCTATTGTGCTGTAAATTGGCACTGTATATTTGAACTAATGACCAAAACGTGACTGCCAGGTATTTAATGAAGGCATGAGAGGTTTTGCTTTTTCACATAAGTGATTTAACTTCAGAAGCACTTATTGTGGAAACAGTATCCAAACATAATAAGTACAACTGAGCTGGAGGTGAGAGTGGGAAAATGAACTTGAGTTACTGCTGAGAGAATTCAGACCACCTGCGCTGTCTTTCTTAGAGAGGCACTAGCTAAGCTGCTCCTGTATCACATGAACAGCCTGTTAATTACAGATTCCCCTTGTAACTTCAATTATGTCAATGTTAGTTTCAATTCAATAGTACATTTTTTAGTTTTCTTTATTAGCTTCATAGTTTGCTTATTCTTATATCTGCCAACCACACTATGCTTGGAGTTAATTCTTGCAGTGCTCTATTAGAAATTTCTTCACACTACTGTCCAGTTATCCCCCATAAAAGACTCTTTTATTAGTCAGAGGTCAACAAAATGAAATTCTTCTTACCTCAGCCGCAGACTCTGTTGAGAAGTTGTTATTGCAGTACCAAGATCTAAGGGAATATTTGGTGCACTGAAGATTGGTTGTATACAGAAGCTGGTATTAAAATACTAAATCTGTTCCGATTCAATAATGAGAGCATATTGAGAAGCACAGAGACAAAAATTTATTGCTGATTTATTTCTTCCTAGGAAAGACATGTGTTCTCTGAAAAATCATCTGCAGTTGGCTAAAAATATCCTAAGGACACTCTGTCCTACCTTAGAATTTACTTACTGATAAGGGAAATATACAGAGGGGAAAAAATGAAATGTGCAATTGCAAGATTGTGGCTGAGTGGGCTTCTTTTGTGAAAGGAGAAAAATATAACGGAGTGAGAGCAAGTAACTTTGCACTGAGTCTCACCTTGGAAATATTGCAATTAAGCCACTCACTCTTTTTCAACCGCTAGTATCACTGGAACACCTCATTAGCTGGGTTGTATGGGGCTAAACATGGTTATAGAGGTTGCAGTTTTTCATATCTTTCTCTGCTGCTTTTGACTGCTGATCTCATGTGTGTTTTTTCATAAGCTGTTCACCATCTATATAACAGAAGTCTTAATTTCTATTTAAAGTGTTAAAAATATTTCCCTCCATTAAATTTGCTCTGCTACATTTCCAGTCTGCTTTTCCTAAGTCATCATTTGTCCTTAACTACTTCTTCCTATGTTCAACCTCTTCCTATAGTTCCCCTTCAGACCTATTCAGATGAAGTACAGCTCCAGCTTTGCAGCTGGGAGTGAAGGGAAAAGACTCCTTGCATTCAAGGGAAATTTGGAGCAATGACAGAATCTGCTGATGGTGTGTTGTTTGTTGGAGTGTAAGACTAGACATAGGGAAGAGGCCAAGCTGCCTTGAGCTGATCCTCCCTGAAAGTCCAATGTGAAGTTCCCTGTGTATTCAATTCTTTTCTTTGCTTACCAGGCTTCAGGAGGAAAGAGTTTCGTGGGAAACTGGCTATAGCCATCACTGCCAATTTTATAAACAGAAATACAACTGCAGAAGCCAAGGTAGAAGAAATTAGTGGTGTTGCTTTCATCTTCAATCAGAAGTTCTTCCAGGACCTTAAGGAGGAAACAGGTAGGTGCATCCCCATTTCTTTCCACAACCAAATTCAAGAAGTGGTAGCAGAACTCTTGACCTGCCAGGCCACCCTCCTATTCCCATTAACAGCAATTTCAATATATTGTATAAAAAACCCACAAAGTGTTAAAGTACTGTTGATGTCACACTCTTGCAGATGGAGGTGTCCATTTATGGTACAGTGGGATTTTCTTTTAGCCTGGGCGTTGCCACATCATGGCTAGTTTTAATGTTTAAATTTTTTTGAACTGTAAAAATGTCTGCTATGTTGAACAAATATAGAAGAGCATTTTCAGTGCCTAGACATTTCCCTCAAGACATAGTTTGTTTGTATCCGTTCACATACTGAACAGCTTAAGTCCTGTGAAGAAGGCTCTGCCCCTCTGGGAGGAGTTTATTCTTGCTCTTTGATGTGTATATCTGATAAACTAAAAAGAACTGGACAGGAATCTGCCTTAAATACTTAAAATATAAACTATGAAATCACCAGTATGAAAAGGGGTTCCAGAATAGTTGCATCCACTCTCAGTACAAGCAATTCTGTTCTTGATTTTACACATTTTTATTTCTGCTGCTGTTGTTGTTAAACCCAGAACTCCTGGTAGACCGAATGCCAGAGGCCTAGCAACCTAAAAAGCACTTTGTTCCCTTGGGTCTTCTTTTCTACTTGTGAAGATTGTTAATGCTGTAGCTAACTGGCTATTCCTTAAAACGGTGCTAAATAACTTTAAATTTTACTGAGACAAACCATTGTGAGGTGAGGCTGATCTCCTCTCTATATTTGTTTTGTTTTGTTTTAGAGCATCTTGTCCACTAGTGCTTCATCCCATATAGACAAGTTAATGTATCCAAGAAGGAAAGACATTTGTGGGGATCACTCACATGTTGTTAGTAAATGACAGATAATGTGCTGTATTTCATATATTATCTTTTTTTCAGGAATTGACCTGGAGAATATTGTTTACTATAAAGATAGCACTCATTATTTTGTGATGACAGCAAAAAAACAGAGTCTTCTGGACAAAGGAGTGATTATTAATGTATGTAAAAATGCTAGATAAAACTCTGTCTTATTTACTTGGCTTGGGATAAGTGTGAATGTCTGCATAAATATTGTTGCCTGTTAATAGAGGGTGTTTATAGACTTACTAGATCACTTCATTAAGCTCAGGTCACTTAGATCTTACTCTGACTATTTTGTTTGTTTCCTTTTCCCTCCAGTCAGCACAAAGTTTCTGTAGAGAAGTGAAAACAGTACTTCCTACATTTGTCAGTTCTGAAACTGGCTGAAATAGGATCTTGAGTCACCTTGGAAATACACGGTGTGGTCATCACAGCAAAAAAGAAAAACCTCATGTATTTAAAGGTGAACTGAGCCCAGCTATGTCCAGTTTTATGAGGCAAATGAGGAAGTGTTAAAACCCACCCCTTTCTCTAAACTGGGTAAAACATGATAGAAGGAGGCCATAAACATGATGACCTGAACTTTCAGAGGTGCTTTGAACTTTGAGGACTTTTTTTCTTCTTTTTTTTTCCTTTTTTTTTCTTATTTTTTTTTCTTTCTTTTTTTTCCCCCCTTTCTTCTGTACCATGTGAGGATTTATTTTCTTTTGTTTCTAGAAAGTGTTTTGGCACCATTTAAATTTCTCTTCCTGGAAACCCAAGAGAGGTCAATTTTTCTTGCAAAGGAAGACAAAGCCAAAAGAGTCGAGTATGATTTCCCGAAGGAAGTACTTGAGGGGAGCTTTCAGAAGGCTTCTTGGCTTTCTGATGAGACTGCTTAGCTCAGTGCCAGTGTTTCCTGCACTTCTGGGGGAGAGGGGCTCCCAGGGGATTGCAGCTGGCTCTGCCTAGCTGGGACAGAAGGCAAGGGCAGCAGCCTCCAGCAGTGGGGTGAGGGGAGCAGGCGTTGGGCCCTAGGGTGGATGGGGTGGGGTCTGTAGGTGGGTGCAGTCCCAGGAGATCTGTGGGGCGTTTGGAGAAGAGGAGCAGCACCCACGGCCTGTCAGAGCTGTTCCCTTGACCTACTCGGGTCTGAGTGGGGAAGTGAACCCAGCATGTCTGTAACAACTGGGTTAATAACGGTTCTGTGGTATCATCCCTGCGATTAGGGGTCTCAACCATGATTAAGCTTTAAATAGAAGCTGCCTTATTAATAATCACTGGCTTTACACAGGATGACCTGTACAGGCGGAGTCCTTCACCACGCTGGGAGGAAAACAACAACAACCAGAAAACAACCCATGCAAAAAAGCATTGCAGTGATGATGACATCTTTTGAGGGGAGGGAAGTAGTGTCATGAAAATAACACATAACCAGGGAGCTGGGAACCACTATAATATTCTGTAAATAAAGCTGCTTGTTCAGTAATAATATTCATCAGGAGCTCCTGTTTGGGGTAGCACAGTAACCTATGTTTGTTTATTAAATTCTTGGAGGAAATCTCACTTGTTTTTTTTATATTGTGTGATGTGTCATTGCCACTTATGCTATGAGACTGCAAGTTTCTGATCCAGAGAGGATAGGTGGAGTATCTAACCCTACCTGCCTCTCTCCTTGCAGGACTATATCGATACTGAGTTGCTCCTCTGTGGGGAAAATGTGAACCAGAGCAATTTGCTGTCCTACGCCAGAGAAGCTGCTGACTTTGCAACAAATTACCAGCTGCCTTCCTTGGATTTTGCAATTAATCACTACGGGCAACCAGATGTAGCAATGTTTGATTTTACTTGCATGTATGCTTCTGAAAATGCTGCACTAGTGAGAGAGAGGCACAGACATCAGCTCCTGGTGGCACTTGTTGGAGACAGCTTGCTTGAGGTATATCTTGGAGTGGCTTCCAAATCGTCATGGTTTTTTGTTGTTTTGTTTTTTTCAATCCAGCCATCCAATCTGTTCTCCAAAATAAACTTTATTTTCTTCCATGTCCTGAAACAATGGTACCTTCTTTGGAATAGATTTCTTTTTTCCCTTTTTCTTTATGTTGCAACTAATACTTGGCAGGCAATCTCTGGCTGGGATTCTGTTTTGCTTTGTGCAAGTTGTATTTCTGTCTGAAAATTGTGAGCTCTGTGTCCTCAGCTTGGGTGCATGGCATAAGTTCCCCGACTTCCATCACAGAAAAATTTGGTCCAAGTTTTTATTGCAGTGTCTTTGCCTTAATATGTTCTCTTTCTGAAGTGAAAAGTGTATTACAATTTATATATATAAATTATTTTTTTAAACTCATGCTGACAGCCTGAAGTGTTTGAAAAGATCAGTCCAAAGCAAAATTTGAAGATGCCAAGAAAGGCATCTTTTTTTTGCCTCCTCTTTTTTCCTTTACTAATTCTTGAGTATTGAGTCTTTTTTTTTTTTTTTTTTTTCCTCCTCAGCTTTTACCTTTTGAGGTTAAAAAATGTGTTTTAAATTTAGAAGTTGAAAATGAAGAAGGGCAAGCAGTCTTTTTCATTACCTAAGACTTGGAGGACAGAGACATAAAAAAACTCCAGGAGCTGGTTATGTTATATTTAAACTTGTTCTGGGCTTTTCTAAGACAGTATAAAACCCTAGACTAAATTCACCTTACAAGTTACTTTTGTAATTAGACCTTAAGAAATACAAGGATTTAAACTGTAAATGCTTCTTACAGCCCTTCTGGCCAATGGGTACTGGCTGTGCAAGAGGCTTCCTAGCTGCTTTTGATACTGCATGGATGGTGCGGAGCTGGGCGCAAGGAAAACCCCCCTTAGAAATCCTTGCTGAGCGGTGAGTGCTGCTTTTGTCTTCTCCATCATTTTCAGTGTTTTATGGAGTTGTGGTATTGATAGAAGGCAGTGGAACACAGAATGGTAGCAGGAGAAATATTCTTTTTGCCTGCAATGGCACAGAACAATTTACAGTAGCAGAAGTCTGCTCTGTGAACTTCTGCACACTAATACAGAGATCCAGCAATGTGCATGACATTGGTTTAAATCACTGATTTAAGTCACCAGTTACTAGAATTAAGAGTGATAGCTTGTGTCAAAACAGCAATCTGCCAACTGTCTCAGCACTTGTTTTTTTAACTGAGGAAAAAAAAAGGGATTGTTCCTGAAACAAGTCTAAATAAATACTTCAACAGCTTTCATAGCTGGTATCTGTGGCTTTAACTCTGCATTTTAGCTTAGGAGCCTTGATGCCTTCTTTATTTAGGCTGAAGACTATATGGCAAAGGAGAATTGCTATAATGCTGCATCATTAGCTTCTCTATGCAATATCTTTTTGACCAGAGCATGAAATCTGTTGTTAAGTACACCAGCAATCCTGGTGTTGCTGTGGTCTGATGGTTGAAGTTGCTGACTTTGGTCCTGATGGCAACTGCTCCGCTACAGCTGCCCAGCCTGTTTCAGGGGCAGAGAGATAATAGAATTAGTCATGGTTGTGGTAAGGCAAGTAGAAACATTGCTAAGTACAGCACTTTGAGAAGTTTTAAGATAGAAGCCTGTGGGATGACTCAAACACAGCATAGTCCCAAATGGAAAATTGAACAGCATAATAGCAAAGGCTGTGGTGGTTATAGGAATTGCAGAATGACGGGATTTAGTCCTGTTATGTGGTAAAGAAGTTGCTCCTTGGGCGGAGGTTAAAGCAAAACCAGATGACTGAATGATGTAATCTTATTTCTTTTTTTTTTTTTTTTTTTTTTTTTTTTTTTTTTCCCCCTTCTTCTTTTTCTTGCTTACTTCCTGCCTCAGGAAAACATGGACATAAGTTCTGAGTCTGTCTTTTTGTTGTCCTTTTTCTGTCTAGCATCCTTCTCCCGAGTGGGGGATAAGAAATAGGATGAATACATTATGCATTTAGTGCATAACACTTGGCAGAATCAAAATAAGGTGCAGGTAGCTGAAAAAAAACAAAACAAAAGCCTCTTTCTATAAGAAATATTTATTTTAATTGGTATCTCTTGGATCTTTTTTCTCTATAAGAGAGAGCATTTATCGACTCTTGCCTCAGACTACCCCTGAAAATATTAACAAGAACTTTGACCAGTATACCATTGACCCTGGAACAAGATACCCCAACTTGAACTCAAGCTGTGTTCGGCCTCACCAGGTCAGTACTTAAAAGGCTTGCTTGTAAAATGACAGTTAATTCTTTGTCCAGGAGAAATAGGGCCACAGGTAGGGCATAAAAAAAAAAATCTTCAGGAGACTCTTTAATTTCGATCCAGCTGTTGATAAAGACAACCTAGAAATAAAACTCATTTTTTTTCTCTCCAAGCAGTTCTAACATTACTCTGCCATTTGCTTTTACTTCTAGGTGAGGCAGTTATATGTTACCAATGAGTTACAACAATGTTCTCTGGAAAGAGTAAGCTCCATTAGAAGATCAGTGAATCTCTCAAGACATGGTATGTGACATCTCATATTTGCTGTGGCTTAGTTTTTGGAGCCTTCTAAGCGTACAACATCATTTAAATGTTTGCTTCCCACTGTAACTGCAGAGTCAGATATTCGACCTAACAAGCTTTTGACCTGGTGTCAGAAACAGACAGAAGGGTATCGTAATGTTAACGTCACAGACCTGACTACCTCCTGGAAAAGTGGCCTTGCTCTGTGTGCGATTATCCATCGCTTCAGACCTGACCTCATGTAAGTAGCATCTGTAGATCTTGTTGAGTAGGGTATGTTAAGCATTTACCAAAGTATAGAACAACACTGATACTCTGAAGTCCCCTGCTATTGCTGTTTTTTGCAAGGAAGTGCACACCATTGCCAGGTTTGGGGGATGGGGAGGGTGGAGTTGGTTTTACTTTGTGTTTTCTCTATGTCCTTGCATGCCATTTAAAATGAAATACATATGCTTTCAAAGGGCTAGGAAGGCTTTGAACCTTATGACTTATAATCACGTTTGTAGGAGTCACATGGCTATTTAAAACAAAAATTACAGTGCTTGGAGAATGTGAGAGTTGCATTCCTAGGTCCCTGGAGACAGGTTTTTAGTGTATGTTTAAAACCACAGTCATAATGGCACTGTCACGAGTTGCAAAAAATACCTGGATGAGCCTTAAATGAACCATCCACAGTGTGTTGGTTGCTGTAACAGTCATGTAAGGGAACACTGGGCCATGGAGGTGCCATAGGAGATGGTGGTTTTGCACAGCTCTTTGCCCAGAAGAGCACGGTGCCCTTGCATGCGGGCTGTGCAACAGAGGCTGGCCCTTGAAATTTAACTACTCTAGGAATTGGATGTAAGCCAGCATTTCACTTTTGACACTGTTTCTGGGGCCCTAACCCTACAAGACACAAGTTCCTATGTGTGAGTATTTTGTAAGGTTCCTTGGTTAGATTCAAGAGGGTCAGGTGTAACAGGTGTCAGGCAATGGCAAGCACTGGCTTGCTGGGCCTGCTTGATGTGGTCTATGGTGGGGTGACTCTTCTGTACTCTCACCAGTCTCTATAATGCAGAAGATGCATTCTCCTGCCTTCCTAAACAGATTTAGGAGTCTCAAAACAATTATTGTCAGCCTCCCTCTTTTGTGGATAAATGAAAGAAATGGTTGAGCTCTTCTATGAGGTGTGGTAAGGTGGAAATAATAAGGTGCTTGTTTGTACAGCTTTGCTAGAGGAAGAGCTAACATTGTCAGTATAAGATAGTCTTTTTGCCTTGGGTTAGTTTAAAAAAAAGGGGGAATTATAGATGGTTTTGTGATATAATGGGAGGAGAGGGAGTCTAAAAAGCAAAGTGATCTTTGCTGTCTGTGGAAAGCATGTCTTAAGCCCTGCTGTCTCTAGAAAGCTGATAGATTTATCTTCCTGAGCTAACAGACCACCTGCTGTTTAATTAACATTGTGTTCAGGTCTTCTTGTCTCTTTCTATTAAATGGGACTGCTGAGGGACTTGGTCAGATGAAAGCCCGGGAGGTGAGAGAGGTGTCTGCCTGTGGGCTGTGGGCAGGGTGGGGTGGAAGGCTGCCTGCAGCCCCCTGCCTCCAGAAATAGGCAGAGTGTGTGGGCTGGGGGGAGAGAGGGAAATTCTTTGGGGGTTCAAAATCAAATTCTCTATGAGGATAAAGACCCTAGTCTGCTGGAGCTTTGTAATTTATTCACAAGTTTATTTTAATAATGACTTTTGGAAGCTGTTCAAGGGATCAGAGTCTTAGACTAGATCCCACAGAAAATGAATTAGAGAATGGATAGCACAGTTCCAACATGTGATGCATTTCACTGCACTTGCTAAGTCCAGTTATGACATGGACAGGTGGTCCTCATTCAAACTGGGTGTGTAATACCTTAAAAAGAGATGTAGTGCCTTTCTGTGTGTGCACACCTAATATTTTAGTTGAATAAAATGCTACCCTAAATTTACTACTTATGGCATTGATGATTTATAGAACTCACCAAAGCTAAAATATTGAGTGCTAACAGGTGAACTCTGTAGTAGCACAGCTGTATTTGGAGAGGAAAAAGGGCTTCATGCACTTCCAAGGAGGAATTGCATTTCTTCATAAATAAGGGAATCCTTTTTCATGGGACTGCATTGAAATCTAGTTCAGTGAAATAGCTTTTACATTATGTTTCTGTCAAATCCTGGATTTCTATGGGACTCTTCGGAGTTGTGTGTAGGTTCACCCTGACCCAGTGAAATGCCCACGCTGTTCTGCACCTCTCCCATGGGAAGCAGAGAGCAAACTGCCACTGATACAGTGTGTTGTCTCTGCAGTGACTTTGATGCTCTGAACGAAGAGGATGTTGTCAAAAACAACCAGCTGGCATTTGATGTTGCTGAGCAGGAGTTTGGGATCCCCCCTGTGACCACAGGGAAGGAGGTGGGGTCAGCCGGGGAGCCCGACAAGCTCAGCATGGTCATGTACCTCTCCAAGTTCTATGAACTGTTCAGGGGCACACCTCTGCGGGCAGTAGGTAAGCTGAACCCAGGCTGCACATAATTCTTGCAAGCTTGGGGAGGGGAAGCACTTCATCCAGGCTGCTTATGAGCACTGCTTTTGAGCCAAGAGTCCTTTCCCAGCTGAGCCATTCTGGCATCCAAGCATGCCTGCTTCTGTCTGCAATAGTTACCTTCTGCTTAAAAAAGAAAAGAAAGGAAAACTTGATTGAAGACCAGGGTTTTGTGGGTCCTTGGTGGTTTCAGAGAACAGGAGCAGCTGGATAACTGCAGCTTGACATCATGAAGTTTCTGTATCAGGTCATTAGAGTGATCGTCTGGTAAGGAAGACATACATTCAACATGTCAATTCCTGTGTGTTTCTCTTCCTTTTTAAAAAAGTCACTCTGTATTTTATGTATTTACTTCTGTTTGCCTGGTTTTCTTTCATCTAATTGCTACCAGCATTCAACTGGAAAATTCTGGCTTAGTCAAAGCATTTAAAAAAGAGATCTTAATAAATTTCCTAAGCAGTTGGGGTTTTTTTAACAGATGCTGGTGACAAGCAAAATGGAGAAAATAATGATCTTTGTTCAGCAAAATCATCTAACTTCATCTTCAATAATTACATCAATTTAACTTTACCAAGAAAACGAGTACCAAAGGTAAGTTGTGAAGGAAGACTTGCTCTGAATATAATTTCTCTTTTCAGAAAAATGAAAATAAACAACCACACTCAGAAATAACTATTTTTTATATATCCTACTATTACATGACCTGTAGAAAGAGAGTTTTTGAGCATAGTAAAAAAGTAAATGAAGGTTTTACAGTAAACAAAGCTAACACACATGTACTCTCAATGATTATGTTTGTAGTGATAAAACTGAAGCACTATCAGTGTCAAATGGCTGACGTGTTAATAGAAGTCCCAGTTAAGCATTTTCTGTTAATTCAAAATTTGTGATGACAGAGAATTTGGGTGTACTTGGGGAGAACTGGTATCCATAGTCCATGCCAATCTTCTTCAGTCTAGGTAAAATTGAGAGGAGTATAATGTTTTGTTTGGTGTGTTTGAAGTTGCTGTTGAAATATTTGAGATCTTAGGTGCATTATGTGGATTGTCTTTATGTTTTATTTTTTGGAAATTTTTCAAAAGGTGTGTTTAGGAGGTTTTTTACAATGCTAGATGGTAAGATTTTTATTTAGAGAGGCTTTGGATTTGTTTTTCTTAAGATGGCAAAGTCTGGAATTTTTCTGGTCTATTTCTACCTTTAAAAGAAATAATACTGTAGTTCTGTTTTCCTAGAGCTAACTATATGGGCATTATATTATGTATCAGTTCAAATAATCATTGGTATGCTAAAATGGTTACCGACTGGGAGGAAGGGCTTTTTTTTAAAAAAATAACGGTGATTTACTGTGTCCAGTTCTGGAGCCCCCAATATAGAAATAATATGGAGCTCTTGGAATGAGTCCAGAGAGTGCCATGAAGATGGCTGGAGGGGCTGGAGCACCTCTGCTTATGAAGACAAGCTGAGAGAGTTGGGGTTGTTCAGCCTGGAGAAGAGAAGGCTCTGAGGAGACTTTATAGTGGTCTTCCAGTGCCTGGAAGCTACAGGAAGGCTGGGGAGGGACTCCTTACATGGGCTTGTAATGATAGCATGAGAGGTAATGGTTTTAAACTGGAAGAAGGTAGATTTAAGTTAGACATCAGAAAGCAATTATTTATGGTGAGGGTGGTGAAACACTGGACCAGGTTGTCCAGGGAAGTTGTGGATGCCTCCTCCCTGGACGTGTTCAGAGAGCAGCCTGGTCTAGTGAGAGGTGTCCCTGCCCATGGCAGGGGGTTGGAACTAGATAATCTTTAAGGTCCCTTCCAACACAAACCATTCAATGATTCTATGATTTGAACAGTTTGTGGATGCTGTCAAGGTTCTGGAGGGAAGCTTTCAAATGCTTATAGATGTATAAAGCCCGCAACAGTGACAGAGGGCAGGTTGACTAGCATGACTGAGAGAGTGATCTCAAAGTCATACTGATACACTTTTTCTCTTGGCCACTTATTAGTGGAAATCTACTGAGATGGCCTGTTTCTGTGCCTGTATGAAACATGCATGCCCATACCTGTTGCCATTAAAGACTCTAGTGCCTTGAAGGGGTATTGAAATGTGAGTTAATGCAGTCTGGCATAGGACTATGTGCAGTAAGAATATTGTCTATGTGTTTCTGAATGGATTATAACTTCAAAAGTTATATAATGTAAAAGTTACTCTAATTAAATTATTCAGTGATAATCTGTTTCACTGTCTGTCTATTCATTAACTTGGTTCTCATCTGAAAGGAGGCCTTGACGAGGGGTTTTGCTTTCATAGCCAAGCCTACCTTAATTTTAACTTCAATTTAAATGGGGAGTGTCTGCAGAGCCTACATCAGAGGCACCAGTGTCTCCAGTCCAACTGTTGCAGATTAACTAGCACAAGTTAGACAGCAGCATGTACTCTTCCACCAAACTGAGTTTAATTTCTGTATTTTCTGCAGCACTGCTGAATGCAAAACGGTTCCGCATTTTCAGTTTCCTAGGCCAGCCAAAAACTGTGTATAACTATAATCATTCTCAAGTTTTTTCTTTTTTTTTTTTTTTTTTAATTTCCTGTTTTAAACAGGCCTCCTTGATGCTTAACTGTATTGTTTCATTTACACCTGTGTAGGGATGGTTAAGTTTTGTGTGCAAAAGTACAGATTTCCTACTTCTTTTGAAACTTAGTCCTTAATAATAGTTCAAGTGTACATGTATGTGCTGCATTTCTCAGTATTTTAATCTCTTTTTAAATTTCTTGCTATCTCATCTTCTCCATTTAGGTGGAAATGTGATTGTTTTATTTATTTTTTTTTTAAACTTGAAGAATTACTCCAAGATTTCCAGATATTTCCTAGGCTGACTTACAACTTGAATATTTTCCATCCAAAAACACATTTTCAAAACCTGTGGACAGTCAAATCCCCAGTAACCTCATATATCCTTGTTAGGAAATAAATTTTTCCTGCCACCCACATACACACAAAACCAAGTGACATGTTTCCTAGCTAACCAAGCAGTGAGAAACCAAATAGGCAAAACAAACATTGGGGTTTTTTGTGGGTGATTTCTTTGAAAGAAAAAGCATTTTTGTGACCACAATGTTGTTGTTTTTCCATGAATTATTTGCAGAAGAAAATAGACTTTTAGTAGTGGGGAGAGCTTTCCATTACTAAGCTGTACAGCCCTCTGACTAACCTCCTGTCATGAAATAAACCTTCTGCCATAACAGGAGGTATAATTTTGGCACTACATGAAAGCATGAGGTGATTTGCTGGATGGGCCCCATTGGTTTCAGACTACAGGGGCTTGTTTGAAAGGAGAGTGGAAGTGCTATTTTCCAAATCAGTTTAGAGAGTGGGACAGGCAAGATCTTATTTTGTATGAGACCTTGTAGTCTTGTCATGGATGGGGCACCTGAGCTGTGCAAGAAACACAGTACTTGGGTTAGGTCAGGGACTTGATAGTGCCATAAGCATCTGAAACTAGCTAGGAAATGAAGCTCTCTCAGAAAACAAGTGTTTGAGTTAAGGGTTCGGCCATGGCTTCAGTTTTATGGTTCTTTCCCCTAAAAAAAATGGTGTTGAGCATTGTCCAGGTATGACAGTGGGAGAGAACTTGTGTATTACAGTCAAAAACCAGCTAGGGTAACAGTATTGCTTACCGAAATTTTCATACCATCTGGTTTGTCCTTTTATTTTGCTGGCAGAAGGATCTGGGTGCAGGTTGTGAGAGACCAGGAAGCAAGGCCCTGGAGATGGTGTGGCAGTAGCTGTTCTGGCAGTGTATGCAGGGCTGGATAATGTTTTCCATCTTCCTACAGTGTCAGACCGGCTGGAGAGGAACTGAGATTTCCTGTGCTCCAGACTAATAAATGAATGCAGGTGTTTACACAATAAAGGGCACAATCCTTTTTTCTCAAGAGTTTTTGCTATGCAGTTAAATTGCTTTGTCTTTCACTTCTTTGTAAATACGTTGTTGAAAGTCCTTTATGGAAGATTTTTGAAAGGCAGCATCTAGTTTGTTTCATTCACTTAGGCAAATTCTGCTTTTATGTGGTACAGATTATTATGCAGAATACATTGTGCTGCTATGTTGTTCACTCTTCCTTGGTAGACCAATGATTATAGGTAGTGTAAAGGTAGCTTACTGAGAGCTACTTCTTGAAAGACAATGTACCAAAGCACACAAAGTAATAAAAACATTGTCATCCGATTCTTTCGGTGTTTGTCCAGAAGTTGTTTGGGATTACTTCCATTCACTGCATAATGATTTATTATAAACAGTGTATATGTAAAAAGGAACCCTGTGTTCTTTGATCTTTCTCTTTATTCTTTTTTCTTTTTTTAAGTTGGCTGAGCAATCACTAGGTTACAGTGTCGGCAAATGCAAATAAGTGGAATTTAGTTTGTTGTTCATAAAGTGTAACCTAGTAAGACATTTATCAAGAAAAAATAAATATCTCAATGGCACCAAACCTTCAAGATTTAATTTAATAAGGACTGATACAAATTTTTAAGTGTTGACTATTTTGCCCTTTTTTGTGGACTGAGCATGAATATAATTTCTTTGTATTATCTGTAGCTCAGGAAAATAATGGAATGTGTGCATGTCTTGAGCACAGAATAGGTAATTTCATTGCTTTAGTGCTGTAATGTAAAGCCATAGCTGGGGAGATGAACCTTACAAGGGAGACAGATCTTTTAGGCAGATAGTAATTACTGCAAAAAAGGAGATACGTCTGTGCTATGGAGACATGATCTACATGCATAGATATCTGGGTTAAGAGATGCGGAGGTTATTGTGAAGCAGTTCCTGATTTTGTTATTTATATGGAAACCAGTGTAGCTAGATTAAAATTCACAGAGTAACTGGTGCAGTAATGCATTTTTCTTCTAGGATGTGCTAGTGCTTAGTGAATTATAAACTCTTTAGTACTGAGAGAGGAAAAGGTAAGCATCAACGTTGTAGGGCCTATGTACAGCCAAGTGTCTAAGTGTTTATTTTCACCCATCAGAGTTCATTGGGAGCTAGTAGTGAGGGGTTGTTTACAGGGTAGCTTTCACATAATGGTAACTGTCATGAGGGCTGCCAGGTTCCTGACACAAGGAACAATCCTGCTGACCTTGGTGGGGGAGCCTAGCAAGGCATTCCAGCATGATGAAGAGCCCCTGCATGCTGGCACTGCTCGCCTTGGTTGGCACTGTTTAACAGAGGCCAGACCACACTTTCCCAGTTAGGAAGTATCCTGGGAGAAAAAACTGCTTGCATAAACCTGGTAACTGCCACAGTAATCTACAGAACTTGTTTTGGCTTTACTGTTTCAGGTTGACGGGAAAACAGAAGAGAATGAGACTAATAAAAGACGTCGAAAAGGTCTTTTTGGTGTCTTTGATGAGGTTGGTGTTCAGTGGTGTCCACACACATCCAGCTTGCTGATGAGCACCAGAGCTGAGGAAGCAGCGGGAGTCGGGGGAGCAGGGTTTGGCCTCCTGTGTGTGGTGGAAGCAAAAAGTCTCTCCCTTTAAAAAAACTTGAATTTCCAGTGGTGTGCACCAAGCAAGAGATAATTTTATTTGGTCATTTGATAAGGAGGAGAGCATTACAGAAGTTAAATTGGTTTCCTTTCTGACCCAAGAACATTTAAGATATTGTTTGGGTTTTTTTCCTTTTCCCAACTGGGTGATTTAAACCAATTTTTGTTTGCAGAGTTTGCATTTTGCAGCTTGGTACCTAGCTCCCCTCTGATTAGTAACCTTTGTAACTCTGCTTTATCATCACCAGCACTGATTTTTAATAAACTGTAGACTGTATTTCCTTTAATCCTTTACTGGTAAGGATGTTGTTCTCTCTCTCTCTCTCTCTCTCTCTCTTCATTAATGTCATAGGTAAACTCAAGACAAACATTGTTTGTTGTTTTCTTGCAGGCCTCTGGCTTTTCAAGCCAAGGGACCAATGCTGGGAAAGAGCAGAGCGATGGCAGAGAAGGCACGAACCAGAATAAAGTTAAATCAATGGCAACTCAACTGTTGGCAAAGTTTGAAGAGAATGCTCCAAATACAATTCTTCGGAGGCAGGTAGGTGATAGACTGAACATAAAAGTGACCTGGAGTCCCTCCTTGTGAACACAATGCAGATTTCCAAGAGAAAAAATTGATCTGTTATGTGTTTGAAGTGGGTTAACTTTTTTAAAAATTCATTATGCAAATGAAAGGTATTCCTCTCAATACTTAGTGAAAAAAAATTATGAATACAGATTAATCAGTGTATATTAATATAGTGTATTAATATCTACTAATGTAATTTTCAGTGTCTAGAAATCCCTTGTAAGCCCACCTGTATAATTTTTGCTTCATGTGGAAGTCTGAGGTGGCTGCATATGATATTGCAGAAAGACTTATTTTCCCTATATTTTGTGAATAAAGGACACTAGATATCCAGTGGAATCTTTATTTGTGGAAAACTTAGAAAGCATAGGAGGGGAACATAATCTTTTGCAAGATATGTCTGGCTTGGATTTCCATTCCTTCAGTAGACATGGTGGAATATATTTGTACGTTCTGTAGTATTTTCGTGACTTGTTGTTAGTGTGACTAGTAGTGTGTTAAAAATAGCCTGTGCTGTCAAGGTAAGATCAAAACCACACTTCAGCCAATGAGATGGTTTGAGTCAGATGAGTTTGGATCTGTTATCAACAAGATCTTAAGGAAGGATGTGCCAGGTGTTGAGGTTCAGTCAGGGATGGTGGAGTTCTTTATTCTTTGTGCTTGTAGCCGTTTGTTTATTTACTTATTAAATTCATCCAAAAGTGTAAGCTTTTTAAATATCAAATAACTGTCACTGCACAAAGTGCTGCTGTTTGCACTCCACTCAGCTACTTGTCAATGCCTTGAACTCTCTGCATGAGTTTGCTTGGCCATGTTGAAGGAAGCCTCAGTGCTCTTCCTTTTGAGCCTTTTTTTTCTGCCTTCAAGAAAACTGAATTTGCTGAATTTTGAGTATATCTTTGGTGGTAGAAGAGGTTAAAAAGTGTAGGTGACAATAATCTACAAAATGTAGTTTCATAGTAACGTGTCTTTAAAAGCAGCTTTTGTTTCTTTCTGCCTCAAAAGATCTTTGACTCCTATTTACTTTCTTCCTTTTTCTTTTTCCACTGTCTTTATAATTTTAAAAATGCTTTACAAGGAGCCAATAGTTAGACCAGCCCTGCACTCTTCTGACCCTCCTGTTAATCCTCGCTTTGCTAAACCTAAGGATCTAAGTCTTCTTCCACCTCAACCAAAAAGGCAGGTAGGAACTCATATGGGTTAACACCTGACAAGCCCACCATTTCTCTTACTGCTGGCAACTAACTGTTATTGTGTATCTACTCAAAATATAAAATGATGTATGGGTGTAATCTGCAGAGTTAACAGATATATTTAGCTGAGAATTGTGGAAACCCTGCTGAAGTTTAAGGCTATTTTACACCTCTTTTATCAGCTAAGAAAACTATTTGAAAGAATTAGTAACTGTGTGGAAAAAAAACCTTACAAACGTGTGTTGATTTATGTATTAGCACATCTAGACTCGGAATTGTATCAATATCATTACATGGCTATGTCTAGCATGCAAGAAAACTGCTGCAGTACCTGAAAATTTGTTTGTGAATGTATTTAATGTTTTGGGCTGTTGTCCTGATAAAGCAAAGGGAGTTTTCACACTGACTTACCTAACAAAAATGTCTAAGATAAAAGCTTGAGCCTTGAAGTGCTGATATTGATACCTGGGGTTTTTCATTTTTTTAAAGTTGAACTTGTGATAAGAATTTCTGCTGGAAGATCTAGCATCATATACATGGGGCAATTTTTTTTAAAATACATTGTCTAAATTTTTCTTAGTATTAACAATAAAAGCAATTTTGTATCAAATTGTAATGATATTCACTTTACATTAAGGGTTTTTAATGGATGTAAATATCCTGTAGTAGCATTTAAAGAGTGGTCTCCAGTGAGATGAGAGCTGCATTGCATGTGCAAATTTGCAGATAAGCTTCATGAAAAATGCAAATTCATAAACCAGTTGACAATTTTGTTTTAAAGGCAGAAGTGCTATCCTGAAATATCAGAAGCACACTGCAAGTGATTGGTACTGCAGTTTTTAATTTTAATTCTGATAAATTCGTAAACTTTGTGTGTTTACTTGAATTGGACAGATAGGATGAAGTAGAAGACTGTCATAAAAGTACCAACTGGAAGGTCAATTTTAGGACTGAAATTGATAATGCTTAACTGGTTGAAATGTTTTGATTACTTGAAAAGCTATTTTATATGAAGATTCAAATTCAGAGACCTATTCTGAACTCCCCAGGAAATGCTTTAAATCTACGACTCATTAGACTTGACTTGGGGTCAGACTAGATCTAGAACTATGCCAGGAACTACTGTTGATATTCTTACAGTTTGATTGTAAGTTTAGTTTCAGGCAGATATGATCCTAAAAAAGCACCCCAAAACTTTTTCTAAAATCTGTAGAAGGAGACGTAGCATCATGTTCTTCTGCACTGATGCTATCATGGTTTATTCATACAAACTGATACAAACCTGGAGAAGGATGTGGAACTTGTCCAAATTCCGTAGTACTGACTGACTTCAGTGTGTGGACGCAAGCACCAGAGGTGCATTAGAGAGTGTGCAAAGAATACTGTGAGAACTTTTTTTTCCTAGTTATGTGCATGACTGTGCTGCGCTTTCGGAAGCATATCCTGCATGGTACTGCAGAAAGCAGATTTTTATTTTTCACTTCAAGTGTTTCCCAGTTTCAGGTGGTAGCTAGGAGTGAACACGAGGTCAGGGAACCCAAAAAGTCTTTAAATGGTTCTGATCATATGGCCAGGAGAGAAAAGACTGTACAAAAAACAGATACTCAGCCCAGTCTGTCAGAAACCTCTGAAAATCTCGCATCTGCCTGTTCTGCTGCATTTGTACTTTCTGGAGTGCTTAAGCGTCTTCAGCACCTGGAGGAAAAAATGAAACAGGTGACAAGCAATTTCTTTTCCTTTCTGTCTCTTAACTGCATATGTTAATCTGTATGTTGCATTTTCCCAGGATATGCTGGCTTTTTCTCTGTGACTTTAGGTTCTATTAAGACAGTTAAAAATCTTTCTACAAACTTGCTGTATTCTGCTGATGTGTGTGACATTAACTGAAATCTCTCTTTTTCTTTCTTTCCTTGTCTTCCTTCCCTGGCTCTTATTGCAGAGAAGAGCTCAGACTGTAGCAAATAGGGAGTTCCATAAAAAGAACATTAAAGAGAAGGCAGCGCATCTTGCCTCAATGTTTGGATACATGGAATTTCCAAAGGTGAATATTAGGTTTTGCACCTGAAGAGGTACTGAGTTAGAGGACAAGTAAGAGTTCATGGGAGGCAAAAAACTGCAGTGGTTTTGTTTTTAGCTCTCCTGTCATCCTGGGTGGATGCGAAATGTAATCTGAATTCCCTTGAAATTGGTAACAAGCTTTTCTTAAATAATTTTGCATAATCTAATTGAGAGAAAATGCAATCTAAATCATAAAGCTAGTCAGAGTACTTTGTCACAAGAGAAATACGTTAGAACAAACCATGTCTTGTGCATAAGTACATGCTGGTAGCTCAATGTGGCATTTTTAATGTTTTGTTATGCTTTCTCCCATCACTAACTTACCTTACTGCCCACTCTAAATATTTTTATAAGAAAACTGAGTATAATACTATCATTTGCTGTTAAGGTTTTGCTGTGATGATTTCTGTGGCTTCTCCCTGGGCAGAAATAAAGACTGGAATAATAGCTACTTTCTTTCTATTTTTTTGATGCATGACTGTGAAATTACTCTCTTAACCTGTGCTAATGTCACTGTCTCTTTGATAACTCTCCTGTTTCTGCTTTACACAGAATAAGCTACCTACTAAAGGCTTATCCCATTCTCAGCCCCCAACTCCCACTTGCCCTCAGCCTCATGATTCAGCTGCTGCCTCTTCTCCATCATCTGTTGATTCAGCTTCCCCTGCTGTTCCTTCTAGACAGGTACTCCATTAACAGATTTTTCCTGTAAAATCCAAACTTGCACTAAAGCTGCTTGAGAAATGGCTTGGATGGAAGGTGCAGAGCTGTTGTATAGGTTCCATTCCACATTTCAAGTGATCTTCACTTCGTTCACTGTTGACAATCCTGTGTGTTTGTAAGAAGAAAGTCATTGCTAAAAATAATTCAGGTATAAAGCTAAAGAGCAGAGCAAATAGTTCACAAAAATAGCTTCAATTCTGGAAATTTTGCATTGCTGCTTATTTTAAACATTCTGTTGTTGGCTAATACTGCAGGCATGCCTAGCAGAGAGAGAGCTTCACGTTGTATAGCTAACTGAGTGTTACAGGATCAGTTAGTTGTTCTTGGGTGGCATTTCTGTTTCTTTCTGGATTGCAGGGAAAAACCTGCAGAATAACGGTCATTTGAACTAGAGGATGTGTCTTAGAATTGTATGAGCTCTTGTTGATACAGACTGATTTTATTGCTGTTTTGCTCGTTTACTTATTTGTACTTTCAACTTGCTTCTGCACCTGAATTGCTAGAATACAGTTTTTTATGACATCAAACTTCACAGAGAGCAAACAGAAATGCTCTGAATGAAAGCAATTAGGTTACAGAGATACTCATCTCTTACTACTTTTACCAGTGTTTCAATGGGCTATGCTTTTATCTGTGGAAGTTAAGATGACATTGTCTTCTTATTCCCGTGAAGAACAAAGCATTCTGCCTGCTTTTCTTGTATTTAAATAAAAGTAGTGTTATGAAATACTCAGGGGTATTGCCCAGCTTCAGGTAAGCCATGGCTGAAGGTACTTTCCTGTCTGGTGAGTGTCCAGCAGGATCATCTAGTGGAATTGGTCTGGATCTTTTTAGGTTATTTCACACTGTATTATTGATGCTGGTTGGAAACCAAGCTCACAGTCTCAGCAGTAACTGAGCAGGTGGATACTGAGCTGACTGGCAGTTTGCAAAGGCATGTTCCTTGTTGAGATAGAGCTATTTTGGAAATAATTCCTTTCCTCTCATTCCCCAGGAAAATACAGGCTACACAGCCGCTGGAGGACACCGCAAGCCCAACAGGTGCCTTTCTGCAGTAATCCCCTAATTCTCTTTAGCTTCAAAATAAGTCCTTTGCCTGGATTTACCTTTTACTTTTTATGACCTAGAAGGTAGAGCTCATCATGGGTTTTAAGCTAAGTAAGGGTTTCCAAAATATCGGGACCTGTTGCTCATTTGATTTGGAGAACTATCATGACACTGCAAAGAGAACAAAACAAATAATAAATAAACACTATTTGAACAATCTCTTGGAATATGAAAATGAGGCTTTTGATCATGTGGAAACTCTGAGTGATAATTTTGCTGGGGTTTGAAAGTCTTATATTAGAGAAAATTTGGCCTGTGCAATCATTTTTGGCTGTGTTAATTCAGCTGTGTTTTGTTTAAACTGCACTCACAGCCTTTTATTAGTTTGCTATTATATTTAAATGGTGTAGCAATATTTTTTTGTGACTTGATTTCACTGGGGCTGAGTGTACTTTAATTAAAAATGCTCTCTCCAGAGGTAATGGCAGAATGCAACACAGCTCAGGCAAGAAAATCTTGTTCTCTCACCAGCACAGTAAATGTACCTTCATCTCATTTGGTAAATATTTGGCTGGTTAGGTAGGACTATACATTTATTTTTTGGCAGACCTACATGCATGAACATCTTGATTCCTAGTGCTCAGTAGGGTTGTACAGACTCAGGGCCTCTTGTACACTATGTGCCTTACCTATGTCTCAATTTGGCACTTCATGTTTGAGAATTTTTAATTGATTGTTGTAGGTATTTCAATGGGAAAGGTAAGAAGTAGAATTTTTTTAAAAGGCAAAAAAACTCCTTGAGTTTCCTTTCCAGGGTTGCCAGTGAGTATGTTACATAGTTGGTGCTTTCCTTGCTACAGAGATAACTAAGAAAGCGTGGAGGGTTAGACAGGTTCAGTCTGGTGTCTGCACAAGGCTGTTGTGGAGGAGGGTGCCTGTCCTCCATGTCCACCATTGGCACAGAAAGGGGTGATGCATGGTCACTCTGGAAATGGAAATTCAGGTCAGGCTTGGGGATAGGGCTAGAGGACCCCTGAATGGCAAGGAGCAGGCTGCTGAGGTAGACCTGCAGCTTGGGCACCTTTTGGAGCAGCTTATGCCAATGTGCACTTACTTTACACAAGTAAAGTGGATCCTGCCCAGGGAGCAGGGAATGAATTCAGTGGACCTTGGGACCTATTTCCAGGACTATTATTTGCATTGGTGAAAAGTTGGTGAGGTGTTAGTGGATTTGCAAGACTTTTGTTCTCCATACTGTTTGTGCTGTGAGACTGATCCAGTCATGTGATACTCCTGTTAGTTTAGCTTTACCTCCCTTGGGGAACTTGGGTTCTGTTCTTCTTCACAGGTCATGTTTTGGTTTACCTGGTTTACCTTTTGTTATTTCTCAAGCAGATTTTTCCAAGAAGCAGATTTCTTACTGCTGTTTTTACCCCAAGGCTATTAAATCTTCAGGGAAACCTTGCTGCTGCCTTGTTTTCATAACAAACAATCTGTGCCCTTCCATGGTTAAATTGTCCACATGTTCAATCTTTTAAGATTGCACACTTTTTAGGACACAGAAAAATTGAACTCTATAAAACACTGGCTGAATGTGCAGCACTATATAAATAAAAATTTATAATATTTCAGGTACACAGTGCACATTTTCAAATACTGTTCATGATAATTTAGCAGTATGTTTGGATCTCTCTGCTGGGAATGTGTAACAGTAATTGTCTGTGTTTGTGTTAGCTTGAGGGTGGCATTACAGGACTCAGAATTTTTATTTGTGGACTCAGTTCTGAGAAACTTCTAGGTAAATCTAGACTTCAGTATAAAAAAACACTTCAGGATGGATAAGCCAACAGAAGGAGCTCCTGCTTTTTGCTATCAGAAGAACAGGAGGTAATAGAAGTCTGAGTTTTCTAAGACTCCATGAAATAGGACCTATAAATATCAGCACACTCCCATCCTTTAAATAGTACTGTCATTTTAATTTCTAGTGAGTACTAAGATTGTTATCAGACATGATCCTTTGCATCTGTTGAATGTTTATCAGAACAGTCTTAGTTATCGTGGCATATTTGTTGAAAATGGTGGTTAAGAAGTCATATTGTCTTATTACAGGAACCTGTTATTAAACCTCAGTCCTGAAAGGAGGATTTGAAAGGAAGGCTATGGAAGCATATGATTCCTTTTAAAGATACACAGTCATCACAACCTATTAAGAATTAACTTCTGTATGATACTATATGCAAATTGACAGTAATCAAAACTACCTTCTAGCTTTGATCACCTGTTAAAATACACATAGGTGGATTTATGGATTAACATATTACAGGCTGGGCTTTGGTTATTTCTGTTTTCTGTTTAGAGTTGGATTGACCTTCAGAAAACTGTGTTCATCTGAGCTTTGCATGGGTGAATCCACACAATAGGTAATTAGAACTGTGAAGATGTTGCAATCAGTAGGCTTTGCTGCCTGCAGAGTTTGGCCCAACTGCTTCCCTTCAGTGACATGCCTCTAATTACCAGCAGTAAGCAGGGCTTGGGTGTTCCCT